TTATTCAAATTGGTAACATGTTAAGCAAATATGATTAAAAATATATACTTTTTAAATAAATGTAATAACATGTTGCAAGAAATGTTTTTACTGTTTTTAAACCTTTCATCAAATCCTGATGAATAAGATCAAGTCCTGTCATTTATTATTTTCCAAACACTATTCAGAAATATTTTATATTACAGCAGGTAATTATATATAAAATCAGTAACATGTTAGAAACAAAAGTAAATAAATATGTATACTTTTTTAATGAAAGTTGCCACACTTCAGTGCATGTTATTGTAAAGAAAAAAAATGTTTTTAGTTCTTTCAGCAAAATGTTATAACTTTATAGTCTGCTGATGGAACCATGGTCACATGGGTGGGATAAAATTAATATTAACCAATAATATCATAGCAAGTTATTAAATTAAACACTGAAAGATCAAATCAAATCACAATCTAAATGTATAATGTTCACTCTGTAAGTCGGAGCTTTATGGCACAGTCTTGTAACGTCAGATTATTGTGTTGCCTTTAAATGTCCAGAAAAACATCAGACGATTGTGTTTCTTGAAGGTGTGATTATGCTGTTTTTCATGTTTATGGAGGATGATTTCTATTATTTATGTGGCAATGAAATGATCCACTAACAAAGATGTTGCCCTGAAACTTTGAAGTGCAGGCATGATTGTATATTCTTCATTCATCATTCAAAACTGAATTGAGATTGCATTATAATGTCCAGTTCAATGCTTGAATCCTGTTTGATTCAGAATTCGCTTCTCTTTGTGACACACCTTACAGCATCTCCATACCAAATACAGCGTACAGGAAGCAGCTCGTGTCGGTCGTCACGGTGACAGTTTTGCAAAATAGTTTTATTTATGCCCAGATACGACGAGTCACGGCCTTTACAAAGAATATAAAAGCCTGCTCTCTCATTTCTGATGTGGATTTCATCCTTGGTTACACACACACAGTGGCTGCTGAAGTGTGTGTGTGTGTGTGTGTGTGTGTGTGTGTTTATGCTGTTGCACTGATGTGTTTTATTTGCACCTGAAAAAGTCAATATAGATAAAAACATACCCTATTTAGTTTCTTATTATACATTCATATATCAAAATAAAATAACTTTCTCCAACCTCTGAAACAACTTAATGTAAAACTACATTTTAAAGTAAAATTGATGCTCTGTCATTAAAAGCAATATTCCAGGTTATTAAAATGTACAGTAGGAATTGTTCTTTCTAAAATGAAAAAGCTATCATTATTTACTCACTCTCATATCACTTCAAACTGTATGACTTTATTTCTTTTGTGGAAGCCAAAAAAAACAAAAAGATATTTAGCATCTATATGCATACAACAAAAGTTGTTTTTGGAGGTCTATTTCATGATCTACATCTATAAACAGTAATGTATAATGTGTTATAGTTTTAAATAATAGTTTAGTTTCAAATTTCATTTATTTGTAGTGCTGCCCATTTTCCTTCTTAAGTAATTTATAAAAAAAATACAAGTAATTTTAGTCTAAATACTTTTTGTTCTATAAATATAGTTTGTTAAAAAAATTAATTACAAGTATATTTACTGAATGAAAAGTGTATTCATTCTAAACACATTTTGTCCACTTATACATACGGAGGGAATTATTTCATAAATTAAATTATGCAAATTAAAATTAAATAATTTAAAAAATAAAAAACAAAATCCAAATAAAACACCTACTAAAAAAAGATTAAATATTTGATGTCTTTACCTGTATGCCATGTGAAAAAAAACAAATGCAAGTATATTTGCTCTAAACACTTTTTGTTCTGTAAATATACTTGTAATTAATTTTTTAATTAAACTTTTTATATATTTACTAGTAAAAATGTAAATATTTACTGAATGAAAAACACTTTGTACAAAAAAGGGACTAAAAGGAATTATTTCCTAAATTAAACCATAAAACTATAGATTTAAAACAATTAAAAAAAAATCGAAATAAATGTAATAAGGCTAACACCAGAGAGCCGTGAATTGTGCTGTTAAATTATTGAAATAATTGTCATATTTAAAGTACATATTTAAGGTCAAAGTTCAAAAATAGTTTGTGAATTTGTGTTCAGCTCCTGCTGTAACTAATGCAGCCTTTCTAACATCTTGCCAATACTTAATATCAGTGCTGTCAAATGATTAATCACGATTAATCGCATCCAAAATAAAAGTTTTTGTTTACATAATATATGTGTGTATTCTGTGTATATTTATCATGTATATATAAACACACACACATACAGCATATATTTTTAAAATATTTACATGCATTTACATATATAAATTATATAATATATAAATATATTTAATATATAAACGTGACATATTTATCTGAAATATATATATGCATGTGTGTGTATTTATATATACATAATAATTATACACAGTACACACATATATTATGTAAACAAAAACTTTTATTTTTGATGCGATTAATCGTTTGACAGCACTACTTAATACAGTAATTTAATGGTAATTAATGTAAATATAAAAAAGATTATGGCAATAATAGCAAATAAGAATCACCATAAATATATACACAGAAATGAACCTGACCTTCAGCCTCCGCAGTGTTTGCCTCTGGGGTCTCAGATTTCCCACAATCCACTGCACAGTCACATTTAGCTCTGACTCCATTCTGATATGAATCACAGCCACATTAATTAGACATAAATAAAACATTAATATATCTGCTACATTATATCAGTAGAACGGGCCATTTCATGTTGACTTTAAATAAGAACTATTTAATTACACAATGTGAGCACAAACAAACGGGGCGACACTTTCTATAAATAGACACGTTAATTAATCCGATGAGAGTTCTGGAATCGCTCAAGCGCAACGTATTGCGATGCACAAGCAGCACATCCAGATGTGTGTGTGTGTGTGTGTGTGTGTGTGGACATGTGGGCTTCAGGCGGAGAGAGAGAGTGAGAGAGAGAGCGATTGCTGAGTAACTGATAGCTGTAATTAGTGTAACTCCAGGCTGAGGAGACGTGAGGCGTGTTCCTCCTATGTAACGTTCATTAACTGCAGACAGCAGCCCATCTATCTACACTGAAGCCTCACACACATCCGTTCATGTTTGTGTCCATTCATTCCTTCTCTTTTCTTACTTTAATGTCCTTCTCTGAGTTTCAAGGAATAGTTCACTAAAAAATAAACATTTAATGAAACTTAACTCCATCCGAGATGTAGATGAGTTTGTTTCTTCTTCAGCAGATTTGGAGAAATGTAGCGTTGCATCAGTGTCTCAGCAATGGATGCTCTGCAGTGAATGGGTGCCGTCAGAATGAGAGTCCAAACAGCTGATTAAAACATCACAATAATCCACATCACTCCAGTCCATCAGTAACATCTTGAGAAGCCACAAATCCATCATTAAGATGTTTTTAACTTCAAACCGTTGCTTCTGGCTAAAATATGAGTCCATAATCCCTAATAACGCTTCTCTCCTCTCGTCTCTCACATCAAAATCCACACACATTTGTCTAGAGCTGTTTTGGCTTGTAAATGGTGATCTGTGCCGATTTCTCTCCTGATTCAGACCAGACACTTTTTTCACTTTGGAGATCTATATTTTATTATCTATATCTATTAACAGCATTAATGACATGCTGTCAATAACTACAGATAATAGCAATTAGCTCCAGTCTCATGCGAGCATTTGTATAATGTGTTATATGTATAAGGTGTCATAGTTCGAAATACCAAGTAGTTTGTTTTGGTTTCATATTTTCGAAATACCAAGTAGTTTGGTTTCATATTTTCATAATTTCTTTGCATTGCTGCCTTCTGTTCTTCTGTGCTTCTATTGTTTTCACTTGCAAATATATAAATAAATAATCTAAAACGAAATTATAAGTATATTTACTCAAAACACTTCTTGTTCAGTAAAATTCTTTATTTAATTAGTTAATGGTAAATATATAAATAATTTGTTTAAAAAGAAATCACAAGTGTGTTTCCTCTAAATGCACTTTTTGTTTAGTAAATATACTTGCAATTTCTTTTTAAATAAGTTCATTTATACACTTCCTAAACAAATAATTTATTAAACAAATTACAAGTATATTCACTCTAAACAAAGTTTTCATTCAGTAAAATTAATTATATCTACTCAAAACACTTTCAGTAAAATTATTTGATTATTAGCTAGTACATGTATAAATAATTTATTTTAAAAATAAATCACAAGTGTATTTCTTCTAAATGCACTTTTTGTTCAGAAAATATATTTGTAATTTCTTTTTAAATAAAGGATTAATTTATACACTTACTAGTACCTATATAAATAATCATTTATTTAAAATTAAAATGCAAGCAAACTTTCTGTTAAAAATATTATTTCATATATTCACTTGTAAATATATAAATAATTTATTTGAAAAAAAAAATCACAAGTATATTTACTCTAAACAAACCTTTTGTTCAGTAAATATTTTTTGTATTTTTTAAAAGCTAAATGAATTAGTAAATATATACAAATTAATAATTTATTTTAAAAAGCTCAAAACCATAAAAGTATACTTAACTCTAAACACTCTTTTCATTTATTTATACACAATAAGTGATAAGAAGAAATTATTTTCTAGAGTAAATCGACAGCACAACACACACGATTCGATTCATAGACATCAAGTCTAAAATAACTTGTAATATTCTTATAACATTATAATTACGTTCTGCTCTTGTGTGCCTTCCTATACAAATGAATGTTAAAGAGAAAAAGAAAACCAGAATGAAGTGGTGATATTTCATTCAGTTTCTCTGACTGTCAAATTACTGTCAAATGAATGTATTTGGACATTTACACTGTCTAAATGTATGATGTTGTTTCTCTGTCTAAATGATCCTTGCTTTAATGCTCAGAATGGTTTCTCTTGTCAGAAATGATCTCTGGATTTTATTTTCATTATATGAACTTGTTTACTGTAATTTGCTCTAATTAAATCATTTGATTGTCATTGCCCAGTTGATTATAGTGACTTAATATTTGCACTTTGCCTCTAATGGTTTAAATGTAAAGTGTTTTGGATTCTGTTATATAGTCGTACACGTGTGGAAATGATTCAAATAAATGTTTTGATTTATAATGATAATCTTGTCAGTCAAACGTTTATTGGCCGCATTTCTAATGAGCATCACAAATACATATAACACTCATTTATGGCCCATAAAAGAGTGCAATGTTAGTATCCTACATATTTATGTATGCAATCAGCTCATGTATGCCCTGTGAACTCGTGTTATGTGATTATGAGTATTAATGAAGTTACTATATTAAGAAAATAACTATCTATACTGGTGCTTTTAAGAACCTAGAAACCAAAACGCTGATCTGAAGAACCTTTTTAAGCTCTCCAAAGAACCTACAAAGCCAAAAAATGTCTTCCAGAGAACTTTTATTTTGAAAAGTGTAATTAATGATACAGTTGAATTTTGAGACCATCCCTGCCCACCTCTGTCTCTGTGTGTGTGTGTGTGTGTGTGTGTGTGTGTGTGTGTGTGTGTGTGTGTGTGTGTGTGTGTGTGTGTGTGTGTGTGTGTGTGTAGGAAGGACCGTACGTGATGCTGAAAAAGAACTGGGAGATGTATGAAGGAAATGACCAGTATGAAGGATACTGCGTGGATCTGGCGTCTGAGATCGCCAAGCACATCGGCATCAGGTACAAGATCTCCATCGTTCCTGACGGGAAATACGGAGCCAGAGATCCAGAGACGAAGATCTGGAACGGCATGGTTGGGGAGCTGGTGTACGGGGTGAGATATATACATATATGTCAGCCACACAGGGTCATTTACAGTACATGTGTATTTACATTTTACAGATAATTCTCGTCGTGTTTTATCATGAACGTTACCTTTTTTCCCCCACATCAGTCTTTTATCATGTGCATCAGATGGAAGAGCCTGGAAAATAGTTTGCCAATATGATTTCAGCTAAAGAAGCTACATTTATCATATGATATGTTACAGAAATATAAAATAAAAAAAAATGGAGAGAAGAACATTTTTACTGGTAAATATACATTTAGTTTTTAAGGTTTTTTTTTTTTTTTTTTTTTTTTCCAGCAAAATGTAAAAAACAAAAAACAAACATGTATATTAAAATGTTATTTTCAAAATTAAAAAAAATATTTTGAAGTAACAAATTATATTATATTATATTATATTATATTACATTATATTACATTTAGGCCAAATTTTTTATTCTGTAAATATAATTGTAGAGTAAATATGCTTCTAATTTATTTTAAATGATTGATTTATGTTTTTATTAGTAAATTTATTTTACTTTTTTTTTTATATATAAATGTATTTATAAATTTATAAATTTATTTAAACAAAAATTATTTAAATTATATTTTCTAATCTATTACATTTTTGGGAACACTTTACAACTTTCTAACACTTTATAACTTTACTTTATAATAAAGTTTAATTTGTTAGCAATAATTACCTACATAAGTTTACAATGAACAATACTTCTATAGCATTTATTAATATTAGTTAATCGCAGCATTTACTAATACATTTTTTAAATTAATCTGTTAACATTAGTAAACTCTGAACTAACATGAACAATTGGATTTTTATTAATTTACATTAACAGAGATTAATAAATGTTGTAAAAATATACAGTTTTTTTGCTCAGTGTTGTTCTTTTTAGCTAATACTAAACGCATTACATTTTGTTTTTGGGACCTTACAGCTGAAATGAAAATAAAATAAAAATATTAGATATTAAAAATGAGAAATGTTGCCTTGGCAACTAACTGTAATAAATAGATTTATGTTGAAGTACTAAAATTAATAAAACTAAAACTGAAATAAAAAATATGAAAGCTAAACAGCAACATTAAAATATTAAATATTTATATAAAACATAAAAATAAATGATATATTTATATACTAAAACTTTAAATTTAAAACAAACAAAATATAAAAATAAAAACATATTCAAAATATATATAAATATATATTATAAATGATAATATCTGAATATATATATAAATAACAAAATACTGAATAGAAATGTTAAAAAATTATAAAATTACAAAAGCACGTAATAAAATTACTAAAACTAAAACGAAAACTACAAATTAAACAACAAATTAAAATTAAATCTAATTCAAAATATTAATAAATACTGTAATAGTATATAAATAATTCTAAAATAATAATATATATACACTTTATATAGCCTATTTATAATACATACAGTATATATATATACAGTACATACATACACATTTATGATGCATGAATAAATAGTATAATAAATAGTACTTATATAATATATTCTAATAAATAATATATAAAATCTAAAACAGATGCTAACAAATGATTCCTTATGGTAAAGCATCACTAACAGAGCATTTGACATTCTGGCAAAACAGCAGGAGAAGCCGATTACTCATGTTTGCTCAAATTGTTTGCAGACAACTATTGACATTTAATTTAATCATCAAAGTCAATTTGCATTTTTAATTTTCCACCAATAAGACGAGACACGTCATAAAATTACAAAAAATAAACTAGAAAATTAGAGAAAGAAATTGGTTTCCATAAACCAACAGCACGATCTGTCATTACAGTATGTTAATGTTCGGTCTGCAGAAGCGCGGCGGTTTGACCAGAAGAGTTTGGTCGCGAGCGAGCGTTTGTATTGCCAGAGCTCAAGGCGTTTTCTCTTTTAAATGCAGCCAGAAGTATTAACACCATTATTCAGCGTGCAAGTACATAAAATCAGTCACTCGTGCGTCGCCTCTCTGACATCTCGCTGCGACTCCAACAGCGAAAGGCAAACGCTCCTGCCGCCGAGTGTTAATGAGCTCAGCGAGAGGACAGATGCGCTTCTTACTGCCCCATTAAACACTCTCATCCACCAACCTGCTCTCTGCTAACACACACTCCACACGAGCATCCCGCACACTAAAATGCCTTTCACAGTCTCCACAGTGAGATTTAGAGGTTTGACAATAACATGTAAAGCTTTCATGAGAGAGCAGAGGGTGTTCAACAACGTTATTCGAGTGCTGCGTTCTGCTGTCAGATATTCTGTATAATGATCGCTAATCTGTGTATTTGGAGGATGTCTTCAAGGAATAGTTCAGCTAAAAATGAATTTAATGAAAGTTTATGCCATCTAAGATTGTAGAGGAGTGGACAAATGTAGCATTGCATCACTTGGATGCTCTGCAGTGAATGGGTGCCGTCAGAATGAGAGTCCAAACAGCTGATAAAAACATCACAATAATCCACACCACTCCAGTACATCAGTTATTGCGCTACTAAGCCAAACGCTGGAACAAATCCATCATTAAGACGTTTTAACTTCAAACCATTTCTTCTGGCTAAAATATAAGTCTATGATTCATAATAACGCTTCCTCCAGTGAAACACAGTCACGTATAATCAAATAATTCCAGTTTGTGTGCAGTATTCATTTATCTGGCAAGTCTGTAAAGGGAGAAAAAAAATCCTGTTGTTTTTACAGAAAAAGTTGCAACTTGCCATAATTATGTAAAATAATAATAATAAAATGAATTATAAATATAGTAAAAATAAAAACAATTTAACAGAACACAGTTTAAAACTGCTGTAATTTTAAAACTTACATTTAAATCAAAATTAGAATGGTTGCCTTGGCAACTAACTGAACTAAAAATGGGCTAAAACTAAAACTGAAATAAAAAAAAAGCTAAATAGAAATAGAAAAAATATATTAAAAAAATGACAGGCACAAAATTAGTAGCCAAAAATAAAATTTTAAAAAGTGAATTCAAAATATTAATAAATACTATATTATATAAATAATACTAAAATAACACTGATGCCAACAAATAAGACCATTTGTAAAGCGTTATTTTTTTTACAACAGAGCATAAAAAATAGCTGACAAAACAGGAGAGAAGCTGATTACTCACGTTTGCTCAAACTGTTTGCAGATAACTACCAGTGTCGGGGAAAGTTACTTTTAAAAGTAATGCATTACAATATTGCGCTACTTCCTAAAAAAGTAACTAATTACGTTACTTAGTTACTTTTTATTGAAAGTAATGCGTTACTTTTGTGTTACTTTTTAAATCTGGGCTGGGCTTGCTTGTTTGCTTTTAATATAAAAAGCTTAATTTTTGGCAAATATAAAAGCCCTTTCACACCAACAGCCTCAGGCTGAAGGAAATGTAAATTCACGTCTGTACAGTTACAGTAGAACACAGAAGAAGAAAGTTCGACACTCTTCAGCAATAAAAAAAGAAGAAATGTTAGTTTATCTTGTGTAATTTTTGCTTATTAGTACAGTTGAATTGGGTCACCGAAGGTCAGCAGCAAATTGGTTAATAAAATGGGATTAAATACATAAAGGATATTTGTATTATTTAACATATTTAATTATTGCAGCTTTGAGTCATATTCTGAGTTGCGTTTAACTGTTTTTATTAATTTTGAGGAAAACTAAATCAGATTTTTTTTTTTTTTTTGTGAGTGAGTGAGTGAGTGAGTGAGTGAGATTAATTAACTCATGTTCACGTTTATTCTAGAACTAAAGTAACATCTTACTCCCGATTTCTCTCAACTAGGGGACAGGAGAGATTTCGATCAATAAATAGGAAAAAAAAGTAACTGGCGTTACTTATTTGAAAAAGCAACTCAGATATTTTCTTGTAAATTAAAAAGTAATGCGTTACTTTACTAGTTACTTGAAAAAAGTAATCTGATTACATAACTCGCTTGTTTAATTAAACCAAAATGTAATTTAACCGTAATTATTAACCCAGTACAATGCTGAATTAGCATGACCACATTTCTACTAAAATCTGTTTTGAACCTTTAACAGCATTTCTGTCAGGACCACTATCGTCAAAATGATAGATACGTAGCATAAAGTTTGGTTTGGCTGTATGGTTCTGTTCTGGGCAAAAACCTCCCTGCCCATCCATGCAGCCTGTCATGAATTGTGAGTGAGTGAGTGAGTGAGTGAGTGAGATTAATTAACTCATGTTCACGTTTATTCTAGAACTAAAGTAACATCTTACTCCCGATTTCTCTCAACTAGGGGACAGGAGAGATTTCGATCAATAAATAGGAAAAAAAAGTAACTGGCGTTACTTATTTGAAAAAGCAACTCAGATATTTTCTTGTAAATTAAAAAGTAATGCGTTACTTTACTAGTTACTTGAAAAAAGTAATCTGATTACATAACTCGCTTGTTTAATTAAACCAAAATGTAATTTAACCGTAATTATTAACCCAGTACAATGCTGAATTAGCATGACCACATTTCTACTAAAATCTGTTTTGAACCTTTAACAGCATTTCTGTCAGGACCACTATCGTCAAAATGATAGATACGTAGCATAAAGTTTGGTTTGGCTGTATGGTTCTGTTCTGGGCAAAAACCTCCCTGCCCATCCATGCAGCCTGTCATGAATGAGCAGGGAGAGCAGCAATAATAACCCCCCAGGGTTAACAGAACAGAACAAGGCAGATATCATCAATGTACTTAATGATATTTAAGTGTAACACTTTATTCGAGATAAAGGAGTCTGATTAGCAAGGAATATCAGAAAGCTAAGTCCTGACTGTGGCGAAAGGTGGAGCTGGGGATGGAGGAGGGTAATTTGCTCCTGAGCAAGCTGAAAAGCTGCTGAATAATACTGAATAGAGCTTATATAGGAATGCCGCGATAGGTGTCGTATTCCTATAGGTAGATGTGATCAGCTGAGAATCAGCTGATGCAAGCTTGACTCACGTGACCTGCCAGAACTAACGCTAAAGCTTAATTTTTCCCAGTCTTTCACCATTGAAATTGTATTAATTTGTTACAGTGTCAATATGTCACAGTCACTTTGGCAAAATAAAACCCTTCAGGATGATCCTGATCATTTTTCAGGGCTTATTTTGAGGAAATGACTGGCTAAATGTAAATTCTCATTTACATCTTAAATGCAAAATTTAAAATGATATATTAGGTATTACACCTACAATTTTGAAGCAATATCAAAAAGCAGAGACTGATCGCTGATATCAAGGAAAATGTGTAGCAGACTTGACAGCCAGCCAGATTTGTTTAAAACATTACATAAAAATGACCCAAAAAGCCAGACTGTTTTGATTACATCACTGTCAGTTTTAGGAGGAAAAGTTCATTTGTTTATTCACTTATAAAAGATGTTAAGTAAACTGCATTCAGCAGCATAATTTACATAATTTACATTACATTTTCCTCGCCGTTTGAAATGAAAATGATCAGACACAAAGACTGAGGACTGAGAAAGAATACATAATTGAAACAATTGTGTTTTTGTCTCTGGCTGTGCACAAAAACCGTATTGTGTAATATGATTCAAACAAATGACTCTGAAGAGCAGGTTCTTTTAACAAATCGGTCTGAGAAGTTCATCAATTTACACTGATTTAATGACTGGATGATAATAATTAAGTGTGTGTGTGTGTGTGTGTGTGTGCGCACGCATTTTTGTATAATGACAAAGGTATGACAGGTATTACAAGGAGAAGGTGACTTTTCAGGACATTACCCCATGTCCCCACTTTTCAAAACGCTTATAAATCACACAGAATGGAGTGTATTGAAAATCTGAAATAGCAGAAAGTCTCCTGTGAGGGGTAGGTTTAGGGGTAGGGTTGGTGTAGGGCAATAGAATATACGGTCTGTACAGTATAAAAACCATTACGCCTATGGGATGTCCCCACTTTTCACAAAAACAAACCTGTGTGTGTGTGTGTGTGTGAAATTGCAGAAAACGTTAATTACGAGCTGCGGGCTCCTTGAGGGATTATTAGAGAAAAAAATGCAGAACAGAATTTTGGAATGAAAACCCGCTCAGTATCAGACTCTGCATTGAACAGTTCATCTCTCGACGTGTTTCATGGATTCTGAATCCGACCTCTCGCTGGCACGAACACAGGATCGCTCTCTCTGTTGCCGCAGGCCTCTAATTAAATCTAGCAGCGAAACAACTTCTTGTATTCCTACAGGAGGGCCAAAAGATGGCCGACTTTCACAGTGACCTTTCACTGGTATTAAACCACTGAGCCGCTGTAAATACTTTCGCGAGTACCTCAGATGCCCGTTCATTGATAAAGCCATCTCCATTCACAACCACTCAAATCCTGGGCTTTTTATAAACTTGCGATATGCTGTAAATGTGATATAAAAAAGGAAGTGCATTGCAATTTTTTTTTCTCAAGGACTTTTATCATTTAAACCACTTAAAGAAGGAGATGCTGGAAAGTAATGGGCTGTAAAGACGGTGTTTGAACAGTTACTGGTGAACGTGTTTTTTTTTGTGTGAAATTGCACCATTGGGTTCTTGAGGTTCTGGTGACCTTAAAAATAAATGTATTTGTCCATGAAAAGTCCACAAAACTTTAATGTTTCTTAAAATGTATGATTTTTTTTTTATAGATTTTTGATTTTTTTTTAATTCAGCAAGGATGCACTAAATTGATCAAAAGTGAAAGTAAAGACATCGATAATGTTATAAAAGATTTCTATTTAAAATAAATGCTGTTCTTTTGAACTTTCTATTCATCTGTGCATCCTGAAAAATAAAATGTATCACGGTTTCCACAAAAATATTGGGCAGCACAACATTGATAATAATCAGAAATGTTTCTTGAGCATCAAATCAGCATATTAGAATGATTTCTGAAGATCATGTGACACTGAAGACTGGAGTAATGATGCTGAAAATTCAGCTTTGATCACAGAAATAAATAGCATTTTACTATATATTCACATAAAAAACAGTTATTTCAAATAGTAAAAATATTTCACAATTTTACTGTATTTTTTACATTTTTGATCAAATAAATGCTGCCTTAGTGAATAGAAGAATCTTTTTTCAAAAACATTAAAAAACTCATTTACTCACCCTCATGTTGTTCCAAACAAAGACTTGCTTTATTCTTTGGAAGATAAAAGATGGTGTTTTGAAGAATATCTCAGTGTTTTTTTATCAGTACAATGAAAATCAATGAGGTCCAATTTTGTTTGGACCTCAACAATCTTACAAATACATTATTTTGTGTTTTGAAATGACATGAAGGCAAGTAAACAATGCCAAAATATACAACAAACCACTGAAAACGATTTAAAAAAATCACCTCGATGTTTGCATGAGTCTTTGAAATAATGTTTTTTTTCTCCAGTTTTGACATCAAAAACTACTCATTTTTGCAGCTTAGTTTCAATAAATAATCTAAATAGGAACGTCACGTTCTGCACCTCTGAATGTTTTCGTTCCTCCACAGAAAGCGGAAATCGCTGTGGCCCCTTTAACCATCACTCTGGTCCGGGAGGAGGTGATCGATTTCTCCAAGCCCTTCATGAGTCTGGGCATCTCCATCATGATCAAGAAGCCTCAGAAGTCCAAACCGGGCGTCTTCTCCTTCCTGGACCCGCTGGCCTACGAGATCTGGATGTGCATCGTGTTCGCCTATATCGGCGTGAGCGTGGTGCTCTTCCTGGTCAGCCGCTTCAGCCCGTACGAGTGGCACACCGAGGAGCCCGAGGAAGGCTCTGACGGTCCGCCCAGCGACCAGCCCCCCAACGAGTTCGGCATCTTCAACAGTCTCTGGTTCTCCCTGGGCGCCTTCATGCAGCAGGGCTGCGACTTCACACCCAGGTGAGAGCGTGTCTGATGCAGAATGACAGTGCTGTGCCATTCATTGAAATACAGTTGAGGTCAAAAGTTTTCAGAATCTGCAAAATTTTATTATTTTACCAAAATAAGAGGGATCATACAAAATGCATGTTATTGTTTATTTAGTACTGATCTGAATAAGCTATTTCACATAAAAGATGTTTACATATAGTCCACAAGAGAAAATAATAGTTGAATTTATATATTTTTTAAAAAGCTCCTTTCTGATTCTGAATACTGTGTTGATACCTGAATGATCCACAGCTGTGTTTTTTGTTTAGTGATGGTTGTTCATGAGTCCCTTGTTTGTCCTGAACAGTTAAACCGTCTGCTGTTCTTCAGAAAAATCCTTCAGGTCCCACAAATTATTTGGTTTTCCAGCATTTTTGTGTATTTGGACCCTTTTCAACAATGACTGTATGATTTTGAGATCCATCTTTTCACACTGAGGACAACTGAGGGACTCATATGCAGCTATTACAGAAGGTTCAAACACTCGCTGATGCTCCAGAAGGAAAAACCATGCATTAAGAGCCGGGGGTGAAAACTTTTGAACAGAATGGCGATGTGTACATTTTTCTTATTTTGCCTAAATATCATATTTTTTCATTTAGTACTGCCCTTCAGAGGCTACAGAAGATAGTTGCATGTTGCCCAGAACACAAAATAAGTAAAATTTACCCTGATCTTCAAATTCAAAAAGTTTTCACCCCCTGGCTCTTAATGCATGGTTTTTCCTTCTGGTGCATCAGTGAGCGTTTGAACCTTCTGTAATAGCTGCATATGAGTCCCTCAGTTGTCCTCAGATATAATGATATATATTACTATATTATGTATAAACTGTTACTTTTATACATAAAACTGTTTTACATTTATATTGTATAAAAAATATATAAATTAAAATGTTTCAAAAATATAAAAAATACACTTTTTAATGTATAGTTAGGAATCATTTTTTTTATTGATTTTTATTTTTTTTTGGTACACAGCCGTGCAATATTGTGTTTTTGGATAATTTTCAAATCCGTTGTTCTTTTTTTGCTTTGCACGACATTAATCTTAACGCTGCTGGGTTTGGTTCAAGGCTTAAAGCTCCTCATTGAAGAATTTTTTGCAACAGCTGGGGAAAATAAATGGCAAACACATTTCCAGCACCAAGGCCGCTGAAAAAGCACACACACACACTCTTATTCAGAGGAGGATGTCACACACAACCGAATCGTTCATGCTTTACAAGTGCATGCGAATTCAGACATTACTCACATGAAATTACAAGAGCCAAATCTTTTCTTCTTTTCAGCTTGCAAAATTGCAGAAAACGTTAATTACGAGCTGCGGGCTCCTTGAGGGATTATTAGAGAAAAAAATGCAGAACAGAATTTTGGAATGAAAACCCGCTCAGTATCAGACTCTGCATTGAACAGTTCATCTCTCGACGTGTTTCATGGATTCTGAATCCGACCTCTCGCTGGCACGAACACAGGATCGCTCTCTCTGTTGCCGCAGGCCTCTAATTAAATCTAGCAGCGAAACAACTTCTTGTATTCCTACAGGAGGGCCAAAAGATGGCCGACTTTCACAGCGACCTTTCACTGGTATTAAACCACTGAGCCGCTATAAATATTACTGTCGCGAGTACCTCAGATGCCCGTTCATTGATAAAGCCATCTCCATTCAAATCCTGGGCTTTTTATAAACTTGCGATATGCTGTAAATGTGATATAAAAAAGGAAGTGCATTGCAATTTTTTTTTCTCAAGGACTTTTATCATTTAAACCACTTAAAGAAGGAGATGCTGGAAAGTAATGGGCTGTAAAGACGGTGTTTGAACAGTTACTGGTGAACGTGTTTTTTTTGTGTGAAATTGCACCATTGGGTTCTTGAGGTTCTGGTGACCTTAAAAATAAATGTATTTGTCCATGAAAAGTCCACAAAACTTTAATGTTTCTTAAAATGTATGATTTTTTTTTTATAGATTTTTGATTTTTTTTTAATTCAGCAAGGATGCACTAAATTGATCAAAAGTGAAAGTAAAGACATCGATAATGTTATAAAAGATTTCTATTTAAAATAAATGCTGTTCTTTTGAACTTTCTATTCATCTGTGCATCCTGAAAAATAAAATGTATCACGGTTTCCACAAAAATATTGGGCAGCACAACATTGATAATAATCAGAAATTCAGAAAT